TAAGCTGGCCACAAGGCATAGTTTCATTTCAAACGGGCTCTCTGAACTCATGTGGGCTCTGTCCCAAATTAATTTTCCTGACGTTTTCCCTGATCGGCCCGTTTCTTTAGACATCTCTCCGAATCGGTGGGCCTGCTCCAAATCGATTGGCTGACCCTCTACCCTCTGCCCTGCTTGACACTCCCCGGCTGATATGACGGAGCTGGCTCAGCCTCAGCTGCCCCCCTCCCCACTCACCCACCAACGGTAACCCCTCCCTTTTTACCCTCACCCAGCCTTGCTGCAGAATTTGACTGCTGGAGCTGGTGGTGGTCCCAAAGACCTCTGGCTCTCTTGAAGTCACCATGCACAAGATGAATAGCTTCCCCTCTTACAGCTTCAACAGGAGACGGGTCGGTATTCTCACACCTGCCTGCGTGACCTTGCAGACGTTTCCTGATGTGTTTGGGAATTGAACCCCACTGCCAATCACAGGGCTCTGTGGTGTACGCCTATCGGCATTTCACGTGAGCCGCCACCTGATTTACCGCACTTTATCTTTTTTTTTTTTTTCTATTACTGTAACCTAACCACCATCTTAGCCTCAAAGCACACAAGCACATCAGACGCACACACAAACACTGAAGTTGTAGGGAATAACATCCACATTCATTAGGCTAATGCACAGCTGTGGAAAAAACACATTTTCCTGGTGTTTTTATGATTTATTGTGCAGCAGAAATGTGAAATTGTGTATACGGGATATTAGTTATTTAAGTGATTTAGAGGTTGGCAGAGAGTACTTTTCCTCCTCGCTTCATGATTTATGGTTATTGCAAAAATGTGAAATTGAGTATATGAGTATAAGCATATTACCTTATGATAATATAAGTAATTGAAGAGATTTAGGAGTCTGGGGAGGCTGGGTGTTGCATACACAAGAGGCGGTGAAGAAAATGGGAATGGCAGCTTATCAGGCTGAAATCATTCTGCAAGCAGAGGTGACACAACAGTAAATTTGGCTTTTGTGGCCAGTGGCTTCATATTGTTTGGCTCTTGATATATTTGATGGTATATCAGAGGGATATGAAATGTACGAGTTATGAGATGTCATATCATTCTGATGTGAAATATGGTGATAGCCAGTTGTGTTATATATAAAATTGTTTGGTTATTTTCACACGTTTCTGTAGCCATAAATTACCCATAGCCATTATGTGGTTAAATGCATTCCCTTATTATACTTTCCTATTAATCTTGGAAGAACAGATAAGGGTGAGAGGTCAGCCTTAAATGGATTTGGTTTCCTTAGGCTGGTCTCTCCTGCTTCAGAATGACTCTGAGCAGTGCTTTCAATCAGTGCTGCCACCACTCACTGTGGTAATGATGGCTGGGGCTTCATTAAGAAGCTCGTTAAGTCCCCTCGTTAAGCTGCAGGGCCGTTAAGACTTTGATTGTTAATGGCTCTTCGTTAAGGGGAGTGAGGAACCGGGCTCCCGTGGTGGTCCTGACCAGCCGGGTGTTTTGGCCAATTGGCCCCAGTTGGCCTCCTTAGAAGATGAGAGGAAACCTAAATACTGTGTAGGTCATAATTTAAACACTTTTTAATGAACTTTTGAGACCCTGACTGCAAAAATACTTAATTTGTTCAAATATCAAAACCTTTTGAACATGCAAATTTGCACTGGTGATGGACTAAAACAAATAATTAGATCTGGAAAACAAGTGAAGAGAAAATTAGTTTGCATATAAACCAGTGCCACAACAATGTCTTGGCCCATTGTCAGCTGTGTGGATGCAGATTTTTTTAAAAGACAGTGATTAGTAAAGTGTCTTTCTAATAAAATTTTTGCCTCATTGGTGCTTTGCACAATTTCCGCGTCTCATTTTGAAATACACTGAAAGTGAGGTGTGCACCAGTTTGCCTGAATGTTTACAACACTGCCTCTAATAGGGTTGCTATATTGTACCGAGGGTATGAGGTACATGGAGAGACCATTTATCTGCTTTATTACTATAGGTGGTGCAATAACATATATTTGAGTTGGGAAATCTGATCTCAAGTGGTGGCTGGAAGTTCATCCATATGGATGCCATGTATGGAGTGTGTTCGACAGAAATGAGACATGCCATAATTGAATTTGCACGGTCAGGTCCTAATTGGGTTGTAAATAATGTGCCTTGTCAGAGTTTATGTAGGTGTTTTGTGAGCTCAAAAGCAGACAGGCAGTGAGGAACCAGGTTCTAAAGCAAAGGTAAAATCAGGCGGTAGCCCAGGGACAAGCATTGTAGTGAAAGACTGGTAAAGAGCTTGTGCTTATGGGCAGGTAGAGATAAGGAGTGGCTGAACTGATTAGGGGGAGTGACAGGCTAGTCATATAACTTGGGAACAGCTTTCTTCACAATAGTATAGGTGTAGTAAAAGGTGTAAAAAAATAAAATATATAAAAAAGCATTAATTATGGCCCGATTCATTTTAACACCTTTTTTTCAGAGTCGTGAGACTGTGGCTTCCTTCATACTGTAACTCATTGAGATACTTGAGTGAAACTGAGGCATCTTTAATGTCATTAGCAGCTCTTGAGCTTTTCATGCTGTGACTACTCAGAGTCTGCTGTGAAAGAGACCCATTCAATGAAGGTTAGTGGTGGGAAGTGAAAGTGGGTAAAAGAGAAACTAATTAATAAAAGTAACATGATGATTCATTATTGAGATGTTAAGAATATTAAACACTCACTAAATTTTTGCAGTGGAAAATGTCAGCAGCGAGTTGCATCATAATCAACTTGCCTCCTAAATGTCTCTGTTTTGGGACTCTACTCATCCATGTGCACAGACAGAAAGCCAAAAGTAGGGAGGCGTCGGTAAGAGGCCATGACAAATGGAAGCAGGGATCCTTGACACCAGATATGGCAGTAATATGACCAAATCAAATCATACACAACATGGAACTGAAATGTAGAGGTGGGTTGCAAAGCAGCTTGCAGATGTTCATCACCTATAGACAGGTTAAAGCAGCTTAAATAAAGCCTGCCAACTGAATGGTATCAGTTGGTATCAGATCATGTAGTCTAGCACTGAGGTCAGCTGATGTTTCTTCATAGTGTGCTTCAGCTAATGCTATGTTCAGTTTGGGGTTTTTTTGTTTCTTTTCTCAGCCTGAGCAGCTGCCACTCCTTACACTTGGTCTCTTGGACAATTGCATCAAAATTACTCAGATTACTTGCCAAGGTGGTCCTGGCTACAGGGGCTACATGTTATTTGTAATGTAAATTCTAAACCCCAACAAGGACATATGAGAGAAATATGTCGGAAGTGATCCTTTTCCATCATGTCCTGTCACAAATGACTGGTCATCCAATTTCAAAGAGTTGCAAGAACCCATACATATACATGTTTCCAGTCAACCAGGCATTTGACTGGAGGTAGAAGGAGAAAATGTGCTGGGCCCCCAGAGACAATGAAGACAATTATAAACTCTGAACATAAATAGTCAGCTGGACATGCAAATGTGACAGACGTGAATGTTGATCTGTCTTGTCTGTCAATCCGTTTGCCCAAGGCGATCAACGTGCAGAGAGGGTCCGCGTCATACATAAAGGAGCACGTCTCCTATGTGATAACTAAAGTAGCTTAGAGGAACTAAGCTAACATGAAGATTTTTAAGCTAGTTATTGAAGGCCTTGCATTTTCATTTATAGGTCCATGAAAAGAAAAACATTCAGGAGAGCAGTGCATCTATGTCTAGCTTGTGCATTCTGCTCACGCAACGCTCTCTCATGTTGGTGGGTGTGCCTTTAGATTTTCCAATTTACGTTGTCATTAAAATACACAGATCTTCTGAAGGTGAAGTGCTGTTTAACTTTGGGCCATGCTGTTTAATTAGCTTTAACTTTTAACTGACAGTCTAGACTTATGACTGCCATCTTATTTATGAATAAACCTTGTCACGTGCTTATCGTTTACCCCCCATGAAGCTGGCACATCCACGCCATCCCCCCCCCCCACTTGAAGAATAGCAATCCTTAAAGTAGATGAACATTTCGATTCGCAGTATCCATTCTCATTTCATTTAGCAAATGTGCTTAGCTGTTGCCACGCAACAATGCTTTCCTGAGCTAAACCCACCCATCCCCTCCCCAGTCGCCTCTCTGCTCTCTCCTTTCCATCTAAAGTCACAATGTCACACTTTTTTGCGAGCGGGGCCTAATTTAGCGCTCCTTTTTTTGGTCACAGTTTCTATTCGATCCACGTAGGTGTGGGGGTAATGAGATTGAATCTTGATGTGCTCACCACATCCCGCTGGCTTGTCTCTCGTCGGTCGCGGAGGACAGTGTGGAGCCTTCCCTGATATTACCTCTCCCTGCATGAGAGGACGCCGGTCGCTCTGCTGCTCTGCCATCCCGCTAGGCGCTGATCCAATAAACCTCAAAACAGGGCTGCGATCGATACTGCGTGTCCCATTGCCACACAAACTCCACCCTCACTTATACACACCTATTAGTTACAGAATAATTGATAGGCCTACTGTTTATTATTCCTTTGATTTGGTGCTTTCATTAAATAGCCAAGGCGTTGCATGTGCACAGACTAGTAAACTCTCCTCTTCCACAGCTGCTGGGAACTGAATGGGGGCTTTAAGCGTGAGTACTTGAGCATGTGTTCTGGATAGCTTTAAGATTAAGGAGATCCAGGTTCATAACTGCTCATACTGCAGGAACAGAAAGATGAGACACAGCACAATGGCAGGAAAGTGTGTCTGTGTGAGAGAGGGGGGTATTGTGCCTATTTCTTTTGTCTGCTTCTTTTCAAATTCATTATATCCTAGAGGCATGCAGAAGATAATCTGCTTGTTTTTTGTCTTCACTGACTGGCTCAAAAAAACAAACTTAATTTTTAACTGGTGTTTACTCTTGTCTTTCTTCCCCACTGTTTCCTTACCATTTCCACCCGTTTCCTTCCTCTTTGCTTCCATTTTTCCCTGTCTTTCTTTTTTCCCATTTCTGTCCGTCCTCACTCAGCTCCACACTGACATGGACAGGAATGATGGACGCACAAAGTATGTCCTGCGAGGCGAAGGGGCAGGCTCGGTCTTCGTGATAGATGAGAAAACGGGTAACATCCATGTCACCAAGCCGCTGGACCGTGAGGAGAAGGACGAGTATCGTCTCATCGCCACGGCCACCGACAGGCAGACCGACCGTGCTCTGGAGCCCTCGTCACAGTTCATAATTCGGGTGCAGGACATCAACGACAACCCGCCTGTCTTTGATGAAGGCCCCTACAGCGCCACCGTACCTGAGATGGCAAATATAGGTACTGGGCGGGTGGAGGGTTAGTTTAGAGTTAGTTTGGGGGTAAGGATTAAACGGTGTGCTGTGCTTCACAGTGAATGATATGAGATAAATAAATGAACAGGTGCCTTTGACCAAACAGTTTTAGTGACTCATTGAGTGTAACTACCCAAGGGGGTTACTTACCTTTAATGGCTTTTTTTCTATTTCACAAAGCCAATAGGAAGAGTAAGATGATGCCAGTTGGCAGTCAGTTCGAAACACCTTAATCAAAGCAGTGTGTGTCATATTGCGTGAAGTGGGTTTTGCAATAATAATGCAGTTATAAGGGAGATGTGTAGTTGAGAAAACCCATTTTGTGGTCTTTTAAGTTATAAAATGTAACATTACCAGATATTATTGTTTTTATATTAAGTATGCAAGGAGACACAAAGCATCCAGAGAGGCTTTCTCTGGCAGACTACAGCTCCTGGTGGTGGTAATGATAGCTAAAAGTCAGACTAACTAATCCTTTGTGCCCTCATTAGCAGCAAATGCTGTTCTGTGACCAAGGATAGCTTCCAATAAACCACACCAATTCAGACCCAATATGTGGTACTTTAATGTTAATGCAATCCTCTTTTGGCTTTTTTATATTATCTTTTATTTAGGGTGTCCGTATGACCAGGTAGCAAGTTTAGAGGAAAAGCTAGCAGCTAGCTTTAACAAATTAGAATTGCGTTGCAGATCTGCCATTGAGTAAAAAACCTATAATAGACAACTATAGAGACAACTGTGCAACAAGCAAACAAAAGAATATTTTTAGGTCGTCTCAAGTAACGGTGTGCTACTGCTGACATGGCCCATGAAATAGAGTTGGTAGGGTAAGCTGCCACAGCTTCTGTGTAGCTGCTGGTAGACTTTTATCAAGATAATGCTTTTAAGACACAAATAGTTGTGTTATCCTGATGAATTAACGCCGTCTGTTAATGTTACACACAGTAGCAATGATAACAACATTAATATCACCATCTTATTATTAGCTATAGCACCTCAAAGATAACAACAGACATTTGATGTGGCTATCAGATAACTGCTAAAAGTACTGTAGCAAATGAGTACATAATCTTTAATATTTATTTTTTTTGCCATACATTTTTTTGACAACTCTGCTGTCGGCTCATTTACCACTGTTTTGTTTCATTTTTGAAGCAGTCTATAATTTATGCCACTAACGTCTTTCTATAGTTCCTCTGCTATTGTTTACACAGACTTTTTAAAGTCACAATACTGTCACTCAAGCTAAAAATTACCCCAGAAAACACGTTCTATTAACTTTGATCTTTCAACAAGGATGTAGTAAAGACACGGTGTATCTGATATCCCGTGTCTGTCTTGTTCCTGCAGTATCATAATAGTGCTGGTCCTTTGCAACTGACCAATCATACTGTTGCATTGTCATAGCTTTGCAGTGTGGGGGAAAGAAATACCTTTATGCAAACTCTTCTGGAACAAACTGTAAGCATTTCAAGCGCTTTTCTTTCTATTATTAATCTATACAATATAATAACTATTTTTATCAAAGTGTAAAGTGTAAAGTGTGTGTGTTAGTCCCCATAGGGAAATAGTTCCTCTGCATTTAACCCATTCACCCAGTGAAGCAGTGGGCAGCC